AAGGGTGCAGCTTGACAACAATGAACTTCAGCACAGGACCGTCTACTTGGATCACGTGCTGGGCAACTCTGAACGTCGGTGTCTTTAAATCTTTTCTTGGCAGCTGGTCAAATTTTCCAGAGACTTGTCTCCTGCCGTTGTGTGAAGCTCCAACTTGCCCATATTCCCCGAACAGGCAGAAGGACTACAAGGTCTCAGTGGCAGTGCGCCTGTGGCCACCGTGTTTAGTACAGTATTTCTGCCTCATCTCTGCCCAGCACCCCCCAAACTGCAGATCCTCCAAAACTCCCATCTTTTGTGCAAGGCAGGGAAAAGATTCCTGGCATCCAACTATTTTCCTGACTTTAGTCCCCTTCTTCATCTCTACTTCCACTTGAACCTGATGCTTCCAATTTCCTGGTGTTTTGCAGATTTACTGTGCAGTAAATCAAGGTTGGGGGGGCTCTCGGCTTTCCTCACTGCTAGTTTATATTTCCATAGTCTTGAATCTGCGAGACCATTTACCATCTGTCCTTATGCTTCCCAGCTTCCAAATGTTGTTGCTGTTGAGTCCCTTCTGTTTTGCTTGACTTTTTGGGTTTATGTCTTTTTTATTTAATCCCTTTAAATGTCACGCTAATGGAGTTTTGATAGAGATCCAAGATAAATGTATGTGTTCCATCTGCCATCCTTACACTGGAGTCACATCTCCAGGAATTTCAAACTTCAACTGAGACAGTAGAGACTGGGATTTTCAGGAACTTTATCCTATTAAACCCATTCTTTATTTTTATTTGACATTTGATTCTATTAACAGCTTCTTCCCTAAAACTACACCTCAATGGCATACTGAGGCTCCAGCACTTAGGGTGGTGGGCACCAGAGGCAATCAAGGGGGCTACAGATTATTTAAAAATGATACAGTGTGGGGTGCCTGCGTGGCTCAGTGGGTTAAAACCTCTGCCTTTGGCTCAGATCATGATCCCAGAGTCCTGGGATCGAGCCCCGCATCAGGCTCTCTGCTCAGTGGGAAGCCTGCTTCCTTCTCTCTCTGCCTGCCTCTCTGCCTACTTGTGATCTCTCTCTGTCAAATAAATAAATAAAATATTTAAAAAAAAAATAAAACATTGGACTCTGAAAAACAATCTGAGGGTTTTGAAGGGACGGGGGGTGGGAGGTTGGGGGAGCCAGGTAGTGGATATTATGGAGGGCACGTATTGCATGGAGCACTGGGTGTGGTACAAAAACAATGAATTCTGTTACGCTGAAAAGAAATATATATATATGTATATATATATATATATACATATATACACATATATATGTATATATATATATATAATAAAATAAAATAAAAAATAAAATAAAAATGATACAGTGGACTAAAAGTCTGTGTATTATTAACCTGTGCCAACAACAAAACAAGGTCAGTGACAAAACTCTCCTTTCTGAAAAAATCTTCTGTTAATCTAAGTTCTAAACAATTTCTACAGCTACTGTTAATTTTTAATAATATGTATGGGGGCACCTGGAAGGTTCAGTTGGAAGAACATGAGACTCTTGATCTCAGGGTTGTGAGTTCGAGCCCCACGTTGAGTGTAGAGATTACTTTGAAAAAAATCTTAAGAAAAAAAATATGTATGTAGGCTTCGATACAGCAACTTTCTATGTCTTATCCTTTTTAACAAGGAAGTTAATTCAGAGAACACAAAGAATACAGTTGGCCTGTGACCCACACAGACTAAGCTGCACGCACATGTTCTGAGGGCATGTTTAAAATGGCTCTGTCGTCCCAGCTCAGTTAGGCACAGGGTAAATCTCCAACCCCCAAGGTACTACATCTCCCAGCACAAGAGGGATTTGATATATGAGGCTCCTGGGTAGCTCAGACAGTTGGGCATCTGCCTTCAGCTCAGGTTGTGATCTCAGGGTCCTGGGATGGAGCCCTGTGTCGGGCTCTCAGCTTGGTGAGTCTGCTTCTCTCCCTCTCTCTCTCCTTTTGTGCTCTCTCTTTCTCTATCTCTCAAATAAATAAATCTCTCAAATAAAATCTTAAAAAAAAAGAAAAAAGAAAAAGAGGGATTTGACATGAACAACAGCCCAGCTATTGAAAACACGAAGAAGCTGAACTCTGTTTAGTTCAGTTCTGTCGTTCTACATGTAATCATTCTCTAAACCTCACAGAATTCTTTTGGAAACACTTCATGTTTTTCCTTCCTTTCCCACCCAAAAATACAGTAATGTAATTAAAAGGTATCAATCTGTCCCTGTTTTCTTATTTCATATCGTAAATTTTATTTTTAAAATGTTGTTCAAATTTTAAAAATTGGCCTGGTTACATAAACAAAGTTCAATAGAAGAAAATACTCTCCTTTTCAGGTTATTATTATTTTAAATAATAAATAATAAAAACACCAACTCAGGGTGTTAAATTCATCGGGTCCACCTCTGTACCTTGCATTTTCGTTTTCCCAGCAGCACCACTGGTCACTCGATGGCATCTTTAGATCATGGAGATAATCCTCTGTCAGTGTTCCTTTTCTATCTGTTTCTAAATGCACAGCTTTCCTAGGGCTTGGCATGAGCTCTCCTCTCATCTTTTTATCCTCTTTTCCAGTGTAAGTCAATCCTTTCCTATGGTTTTCAATACAATCATAACACTGTTGACCCTCTGCACTGACCTCTCTAATCCAGAATTCTCTTCTGAGTTTCAGACCCGTGTCCAGCTGCCTAATAGACATGTCAGTTTTAATGTCTTCTAGAATCCAATTTCATTTAATATGTCCAAACTCTCTGATTTCCAAATCCTGCTGCCTCACTTCCCCCCGTAGCTTTATCGTTTCAATACAAGGCACTACCACCTACCCAGCTGTTCTAGCCATTGTTGCCTTTTCCCTGTCTTCCACCAGCATATCCCCAATCAGGAAATCCAGGCACTTGAAGCTCTAACACATGTCTTGAGCACATCTGCTTTCTCTCCAATCTTACCAGACCAACTTCATCCCTCACCCAGACCAATGCAACGGCTTCCTAACTGCTCTCCTTAGTTACACTTCTGGCTTCTCCAAGCCATTCCCTCAAAGAGCAATCAGAGCGATCTCAACACACTTAGGAATTTGAGAAACTCCCACATTAAGTCCTTGGCCTGTGGGTAAGAGCTATCATGACAGGGAAGGCCGAATGGATGTCACCCTTAAGGTGGGGATTAGTGTCACCCTTAAGGATGTCAAGGATACAGGAGGGGTGATCCCGATCAAGTGTCCATTTAAATCACCACTCTGGCCCCTGCAAAAACTGGATGGATCTGAGAAAATGATTATCAATACTGCAAGCTCGGCCAAGGACCTGTCCTGATCGCGGCTGCCATGCAGGTGTGGTATCTTTGCTAGAGCAGATCGGGGTGGTCTAAAGTACACACAAAGCGGCTGTTGATTGGGCCAAATGTGTTATTTTCTACTTTAATCAAGAAAAAGGATCAGGAAGTTCACATTTACATCTGACAGATGACAATGTTTACTCGTATAACCCACACACTTACAGGGTCACATTAATTCTCCTGATCTCAGTTAAAATACAGTCTGAAGAGATAAGGACCATCTGGATATCCTGCAGAACAACATTACATTGATTCATTACATCAGATTGGCCTGTGAGCCAAATATGACCCACCGATTTTTGTAGGGCTCACAAGTAAAGAATGATTTTTACACTTTGTAAATGGTTAAAAAAAAGATCAGATGACTAAGCAGAGCACAGAGGATTTTTAGGACAATGAAACTATTCTGTATGATACCATAATTGTGGACACATGTCATTACATTTGTCAAAATCCACAGAACACCAAGAATGAATCATGATGTAAACTATGAACTTAGGGTGATGACGTGTCAACTCAGTTTCATCATTTGTTACAAATGTGCCACTCTGGAGGATGTTGATAGTGGGACAGGCTGTGCATGCGTGGAGGCAGGTAGTGGACTGGGAAACCTCTGTACTTTCTATTCAATTTTGCTGAAAACCTAAAATTTCTCTTAAAAATGATCTCAGGGGGCACCTGGGTGGCTCAGTGGGTTAAAGCCTCTGCTTTCAGCTCAGGTCATGATCCCAGGGTCCTGAGATTGAGCCCCATGTCGGGCTCTCTGCTCAGCAGGGAGCCTGCTTCCCTTCCTCTCTCTCTGCCTGCTTCTCTGCCTGCTTGTGATTTCTGTCTGTCAAATAAATAAAATCTTTTAAAAATGATCTCAGAAAATAAGATCAATATCTGAAGAATATTTTGTGATATGTGAACATACTACATTCAAACTGCAGTGTCCATAAGTAAAGTTTTGTTGGAACACTGTCACACCTCTCTGGGCCCCTTGCATCCAGACAAGAAGTCACCATCTTGGTAGGGTAGCTGACCCTGGCCACCAGGGCAAGGTACAAGTGCTGTCACACAGAGAGGTGTTCAGGAATTCAGAAGATCATGCAGGTGCCTCTTGGTACATGACAGCCCACTGTGTCCGTGAATGGACAGGTGCAACAACCCTGGCCTGAGAAGGGTATGATTATTAGTCTCAGACCCTTCAGGGATGAGGATTTGTGTCATACAACCAGATAAGCCACTGAGACCTGCGGAAGTGACAGCTGAGGTCCACGGCAGAAATGCTTGTGGAAGGCAGGCTGGGATGGAAGAAGGAAAGAAAGACCTCCCAGGGGATGTCACGGATGGCCTGTGTCTTCAGTGTACTGCTCGCAGCGCACGGCACAGCAGTCTCTCCGTAAAAGTGCTGAGAGGACTGTTCTTTCCGTCTTTGACTTTACAAGTGTGTTGAATGTCTTCATATCCCATACTTTGCTTGATGGAACCTTGTGGAAGAAATTCTTCCTATCTCACCGCCTATCTTTCCGCTCACACGCGGGGCCCGCCCGCCGCTCCCCTCAGAGCCTCCCGCCGAGGGAAAGCGCCCGCCTCGTCCCTGCCCCGCGTCGCCGGCCCCCGGGGCTCCCCGCTGAGGACCCGCCCAGACCGCCCCGCTCACCGCCTCCGGGCTTCTAGGCGCGCGGCGATGCGGAGGCGCCGGGCCTGGATCCGCTCCTGAGGGTTGTCAGAATGTATGGACGGCCCAAGAATCGGGGTGGACAAGTGTTCCTCCTCCTTCTCCTCCAGGACCCCCAGGGGTCCCGGCGGATTCATGACAGGTGCCTCCCGCCCCAGGCAGCTCCTCCTGGACCACCGCCAGGCCGCCGCCGGTTGCTAAAAACAAGCCGTTGCCAGGGAGGGCAGTCACCTGACTGGCAGCTGGAGTGCGCGCGCGCGCCCGCGGCACCTCAGGCCCCGCCCCGCCCCCCCTCTGGCATTTGCTCGCCGGCCTGTGGTTTCATTCCCGGGGAGGTAATGGACCTGGGCTCTACCTTCGCGGGGTGAAAATGACATCGGTTTCATTCAGTACTGTACAAATAGCGCCTAGCATAATACCTAATATGTAGTAAGTGCACAACCAGTGTTTGCTGAGTGAAAGAAATGTACACAGGTGTTTGCTCACTGCAGATATTTATAATATTAAAAAACTGGTATGACCCCAAAATCCATCAATAGGGGAACTGGTAAAGTTTTCAGGGGTTGGAAAACAATGCAGCCGCTAAGAATGGATCTGACCTAGAAAGAGATAAAGATTAAATGAGAAAGAGAAGATGTAACACAATGTGTAGAATGTAAGCCAAGTCTATTTGATATGTATCTAGTATATAGGGAGGAAAAATGAACAGAAAATAAGGCTGGTATCAAGGAAGTTACTGCCTGTGTTCTCTTCTGGGATCTTTATGGTTTCAGATCTCACATTTAGGTATTTAATCCATTTTGAAATTATTTTTGTGTACAGTGTAAGAAAGTGGGCCATTCCCTGCCCCCGCCATCATTTGTTGAAGAGACTTCTTTTTCCCACCAGATATTCTTTTCTGCTTTGTTAACAATTAATTGCATATAGTTGTGAGTTCATTTCTGGGTTTTCTATTCTGTTCCACTGATCTCTGCGTCTTTTTTTTCTGCCAGTATCGTACTGTTTTGATCACTACAGCTTTGTACTATAACTTGGAAGTCTGGAATTGCGATGCCTCCAGCTTTGCTTTTCTTTTCCAAGGTTGCTTTGGCTATTCAGAGTCTTTTGTGACTCCATAAAATTTGGGGTTTGTTCTAGTTGTGTGAAAAATGCTGTTGGTATTTTGATGGGGATTGCATTAAATGTGTAGATTGTTATAGGTAGTAATAGACGATTAAACAATATTTGTTCTTTCAATCCATGATCATATAATGTTTCCATTTCTTTGTGATGTTTTCTATTTCTTTCATCAGCATTTTATAGTTTTCAGAGTACAGATCTTTTACATCTTTGGTTTGGTTTATTCTTAGGCATCTTAGTGTGTTTGACACTATTGTAAATGGGATTGATTCCTTTCTGCTGCTTCATTATTGGTGTATAGAAATGCAACAGATTTCTGGGGCGCCTGGGTAGTTCAGTAAACATCTGACTCTTGATTTCAGCTCGGGTCATGATATCAGGGTTGTGAGATCAAGCCCCGTGTCGTGTTTTGTGTTGGCATGGAGCCTGCTTAAGAGTCTCTCTCCTGGGGCACCTGGGTGGCTCAGTGGGTTAAAGCCTCTGCCTTCGGCTCAGGTCATGATCCCAGGGTCCTGGGACCAAGGCCCGCATCAGCCTCTCTGCTCAGTGGGGATCCTGCTTCTCCCTCTCCCAATCCCCCTGCTTGTGTTCCCTCTCTCGCTGTGTCTCTGTCAAACAAATAAATAATATCTTTAAAAAAAAAAAAAAAAAGCTTTGGAGAACTTACACTAAAGTTCACGAAAGAAAGAGGATACCCTAATCTGAGCAGGAAACTACAACTGACATAAGCATGTGTATTTATGACCTGTGACTAGCACGTATCTGTGGCTGCTCTCCAAAGGAAATCAAACTATAACTGGCAAGTTTCTTGATGTTGTACGATTGACTGCAATGAATTCAGGGGACCACAATGAGAATAACTTGCCACAAAGACCCAATAGTCCTTTCATCCCATCCCTGGGTAAGTATGGGATGATAAACGCAAACCCTTCTGGATATATGGGCTTCTTTTGCTATGCAACAGGCTTGCCATCTACCTTCAGTATATAGTCTTTTTCCAGGGAAATGATACACTGACTAGATTTTAGTCTATGAAGTCAAGTCACATACTTAATTCCACATCCATAAGATTATAGCAAATCATCCCATCAAACATTTACATAATTTCTTGGCTTATTCCTATCTCCCAATTTGTGTGAATTTTACTAATAGATTCTCAGAAGGCAATCTTCTTTTATTCATTTCCAAGTTATTTTTAGAACTGCCTCACCCATCATCTTTATGTATTGACTACTAAAGGTACGAAGGATGGAACAGGGAAGGGAAGGAAGAAGGGGAGTCACGAGTAGGTCATAAGGCTTAAGGAAGAGTTCAAAGTTATTAGTAGAAACCAAGCACCTACCTTAGACCACACACTGTGCTAAATACCTCCTTGCATCATTCATAGCACATATGCATGACTGCGGCAATATTACTAATCCCATTTTACAGGTGAAGAAATTGAGTCTCTGAAAAAAAATAAGTAACTTGCCCCAGGTCAAAGCTTGCCAGGCCGAACATGACAAAGAAACGGTCATGGCATTAAAAGCTTGGGAGGTCTTGAGAAATTTTCAGAATGAAGGCAAAAAGAAAAATGGAAGGAGCAGATATCAAGTTTGCTTTAGGGGAACTTGCAAGCAAGGAGAAAAGATGAGAGCAGGAAGAAGAGCAGGACATTCTGGAAGCACGGCGTCTAGGCTGGGACAGACCCGCACTGCTTACCTAGGACATACCTGCAATGCCGTCAGGCACGGACTGGGTGCTGGATGTCTGCAGACAGAAGGGCAGGGGTAACAACTGCTAGTGCAACTACGAGGCTGGGAGGGCCAGGGGACTATGAGCACACTGCTGGAAAACTAGCCTGGGCTGCAATAGGGACTTTCCCCTCACCTTCTTTAAACCTCTTACAGGAAAATAATAATAATAATAATAATGCCTGCTGTTAGAAGTGGGGAGATCAATTCTGATGTAAAAGACAGGAAATATTCTTAGAAGCAATGTTAGGAAATATGAGGTTTTTCAATAAAGCTTATGATTCATACACTAACGTTTAATTGTACCAAGTGTGGGTCATTCAGTTCTTATGGAATTAGTCTGGAAAATTAACATTCTTTCTGTAGGAAAATGTTTTTAAGTACGAGACAACGACCTCACAAACTAACTTGAGTGTGACCCAGTATTATTATACACTGCCCAGTGCCCAGGTCTGGGGAAGTCAAGAGCAGGACAACATGAACCGCTGTTACTGCCACCTGCCTGGTACTCTGCTTTCTGAAACAGGGCCCAGGACTGCAGAACACCCAGGAGCAAGCAGGCTGGTCATTATTTTTTTTAAGATTTTATTTATCTGAGCGAGAGAGAGAGAGAGAGAGAGAATGAGTGGGAGGAGGGGCGAAGTAGGTTCCCCCAGAGCAGGAAGACCCATGGTAGGGCTAGATCCCAGGACCCTGGGATCATGACCTTAGTCAAATACAGACGCTTTACTAAGCCATCCAGGCACCTCTGGGCTGATCTTTCTTTAAACAAACAAAAGAAAAAAACACTTAATGTTTTGTTTTAAAATAATCAGTAACTCTTAAGCAAGTGGCTGGACATTATTTTTCTCCCCACAGCTCCCTCCCTTCTTGCACCTACCAAGGACAAACAAAGAAGACAATCTGAAAACAGTTAAAAGGATTTAAAAATTATTTACTCTTTACTTTTATTACAATAAATATTTATCAACAATAGAATTAAACAATTTTAAATTAAAACCTACTGCATTACTTTTGGGGTTCACAGCAGCAGAAACAAACATAAATCCAGTTGAAAGGGCAAGGCTTCCAGAATCCAGTGGCAAGAAACAGTCAGGTCTTGATTATCTGGGCTCGAAATAGGGATCAGTAACACCAACGATGCGAAAGTGATGGTGAAACGCACAGCTGTCATCTATTTGTGCGTCAAATTACCTAAGACCTCGCAACACTGAAGCTCAGGAATTTAAGCAAGTTATGAAGCCCTGGTTCAGCAAGGGCTGGATTTTTTCCCCTCATCGAGGCCTTGAGCACAACTGCTCCCAACCTGCCTCTGGGCCAGGAATGGGCTGCATCATCCTTCAGAGCCAGAAGCCTCAAACCCGGTGGAAGCAGCTATCTTTCTCATTCGCCATCCCTGGTGAAAGGGAAACAGAAAGTGACATATTTCAAGGCCCTTCCTTGGGGATGAAGAGGAACTGCAAATAGGAGAGACTGTGGCTCCGGAGCGGGAAGAGGCTTCACAGAGTTACGGGTTACAAGCTAGGTCCACGAGAAGAGAACACTCTAAGGAGGGCTCACCATATTGCAGATAATCAAGAACAGACTGCACGGGTAAAGGAACGTATCATACATATAATGCAGAAATATGTGTCTATATTAAATATGTACATACACACGCCACACCATAACCATAACCAGGTAAAATAAATGTTATGTTATTTACGATGAACACAGCAAGTTCTGGACAGACCGATGATGAAAAAGCTCATGGAACGACCTGAAAGAGGAAACAAAAGACTGTGCTCCCCTTTATCTTCCACTCTAATATACTCTACTTGTTGCTAACACATGCCTGCTGCCTAAGTGGTGTTGTTTCTAGGTACCTGAGAAGGGAAGGAGTCATCCTTTCATTTCAGAATGCTACCCAAAGCGAACTGCGATGGCTCAAGCGACACAGCTAAGTCATTGATTCCCGCCACCTCTTCTTAGTCACAGGGCATGAAGCCTTACTCAGTAAAGTACCAACTTCTCTTCCTACAGTTAAATTCCTGCAAATTTAATCTATTATATGTTGGATGGGAGGGTAAGGGGACAAGGTAGGTGGTAGGGAGTTTGCATCTGGGCAGTAATTCACTGCCTCCCCATTACCCAGAGAAAATGCTTTTTTTTTTCTTTTTTTTAAACAATTGAAATTTGGAGTTTAATACTGAAGTCTGCTTTCTTGGCACATTTTGGAACGAGCAAGTCATTACATGTCACTGGGACTTTGTCTCTTGAAAGCTAATAGAGTAAGTTAGCGAAACAAAATAACCTACAGTGTTAATATTGTGGGCAGTTTTAATTAGCAGTTGTTAGAGTGCTGCTGAATGATACCAGTAATTCAAA